CGGGCCCCGCCGCTTCCCCCCGCCCGCCGGGGCGGGCCAGGGAAGCCCGTAGGGGTGGAAGGACTGAGTTCCCCGAATTAGGATTTGCTACAAAGCACGTTGACATAAAGAGTATTGAGATTTGTGAGGCGCTTTCCCTGGCTCCTACGCGGGTTTTAATGAGGTGATACCTGAGATATTTTGATTTCAACAGGAAGGTGCAACTGAAAAGGGTAAAAGTGAACGTGGCGCCTACAGCCGTAGCCCTGTGGCCGTTGATATTGGGATTTAAGTGTATTTCAGGCATAAAAAAAAGCTTAGAGATGTGTTGACTGCTTGCGTGAGGAAAGTAAGATGACGTGAAGCCTTTTTGGCAGCTAAATAATTCTGCGGAAACCAAAATAATTCAGGTTTGACGTCTGTTTCAGCAACGTATTTACGCACCCACCTGGTGCCATAGATAGTGGTTAGTCCTGTCACCTTTAATACATGTGACATTAACCCTGGGCGTCAAAACTGTACCTCCCCTCCTGTACTTCTGTGACCCTGGGTGTTATTACTAATTTATGAAGTGCCACAGCCATTCTTAACAGCTCACTGCCCAAAGGACTTGCAACATGGGGACGTGGTGTTGCCTCTCTCCTCTGGACGACTGGTGGCATCAAGACCTTCCTGTAGCAGAAATGGTGCTGGTGTCCCTGTTCCCCTATTTACCTTCTTCCCACAACGCTGACGTCTTTGCATTGCTGACTACTTTCCACAGCTCCTAAACCAATGATTTTTAAGTGGTCTCTTGTGCTGTGTATAAGAAATGGGTTTTTTGTAAGACCCTTTCAGAAAGCAATGGTTTTTTTATAAGCTCTACTAGAGACTATCGCTCACAGGCACTAGCACAGCATAGAGACTGATAATCGAGTATGTCACTTGAAACAAAATACCCCAGCAAAGCGACAGCAGCATCCAATTCTCCAAAAATATTAGACCAGGATAAGTGCCCTTTGTTTGATATAAACAGCAATAATTACAGTCTGCTCTCCTGCATGACCTATAGCAGGAGTGTGTTGTCACTTGCAGAATAGAAATGATGACCTCAATCCAAACAGCCTAATGCAAATATCTTAGCCTGGATAGCTAGTTCTAAGCCAAACAAATTGTCATTGAGGCTGAAAAATAATGTATTTTAGCTTAAGTTTTCCCCATATAATTCCTGTTATACTGACTGCCCTTTTAAAATGGGCAGAATTAAGTAGGATTTTATTCCTTCCCCAGATATGTTTCATTTTGGCCACTGGATATTGCAGTTTCAGGTGTGTCTACAGAGGATTTAATGCATAAAATTAATTAGATGATCCTTAATAAATGGGAGATACTTCTTTTTTTTTGAGGCTTGAGTCTGCTGTTTCATGGGTGACATTTTTCATTAAAAGACAAAACTTAATTTAATATTAAACTTTTAATTATAGACTCAAGTCATGCATACATTTAAGCATGTACATAATCTAAGCATATATGTAAGTTCTGTTGAAGGCATGGGCCCCTTGTAAATGCTATGAGTAGTGTACTTCACAAATTACAGTTTTGCTAAGGTGCTCTCATCAGCATATTCTGCATAGAAAAACACTTGCAGGGTATGACTAAATTAGAGTAGCACATAATTATATGTATCATATATATTTATGTATGATGCTTGTGCTTTGGTTCTTTTTTCATGATGTTCGTTATGTTTGCTATGGATTATAACATCAAGAAGGAGATCGTGATCCAGGTGGCAATTTCCTAAGACTTCTCATAGATGTTATACTGAAGTTCAAACTGCATGTAAAAAAAACAAAGTGACAGGTGATTTTTAAAGGAAAACGGCACTCAAAAATTAATATTGTCACTGAGTAGGACTTTCAACACCCACTAAATGCCTCACATAGCACATACCTACATAGTATGTGCCCGAATACTTAAAAGGTCTAGCTCCAAGTGTTGTCAAGACTGAGGACTTAATAATCCACTCTTGCAATCTTTCTGCTCACTTCAAGGCTCTCCGGGTAATTAATGTGTTGTTTTTGTATGAACACAATCTCGTAATCAGCATCTCTGAAGTCTACTGTAGTGTGATAAAGCCTCAAAGGGTTTGCTTTTTCTTTCTGTGGATTTCATTATGTTAAATAATGTACTGTTAGATGAAGTCTTATCTTCTAAATTTTAAACCAAGAGTTGTTCCTTTTAGCCTATGGGAAATTAATGGAGCTTTTGTAGAATGAATCTTCCTGATTGAACAAAGGCATATACACTAAAACTGGCAAAGTCTTGTTTGCCTTGAAACAATGGAAAATGACAGTTCTTTTTATAGTTATTTAATCTTGACAACTCTCACTGTTCTGTCACGAGACTTTGTATTTGATGGTTTACATAAATCCCCAGCTTCTGGACTCATGTGTTTTCATTATACTCACCTTTAATTTCAAAATTAATTTCTAATCCTTGTTATTATGTACACTTCTTGGGAAAAGAAGTAAGTCTGCTATACAGAATAACCAGCCTGTACCGAGAAACAAAAGGAAAACATTATTCAAGTTTTATTTGTTTAAAATCTTGTATTTTTTGCAATTTTCCATTTCTTTATGACTAGGTTCATTCCTTTATCTCAGTAGAGGTTGACAGCTGTGGCATTTTTAATGAAAAGTCAGCATGTATCTCAGTAGCAGGAGGAAAGGAGAACTACATTTTTTGTGCATTTCTATATCTTTAAACAGGAGGGATCCTTTTACTTCAATGTTAATATCTACCTTGAGAAATCAACTAAGGAACTAACATCCCTTGTAATTGGGGCCCGTCTGATCAAGGGAATATTAATCTATAAATGAACAAACAGAGAAACCTCCATAGATTGTTATGGATCCTGCTAGGGTTTTTTAATAACAAAATAATATAGCAGATAATATTTTAGTGAAAAATTATTTATCCTCAAAACTCTGATTTTTTTTTTTCTTAGCTTGCTGAATCTGCTCCGTGATTTCCTGTCAGCCAACTTTCCTCTCGCCTCATTCTTTTTTGTGTCTCAGTTACAGTGTAACTGAAAGCCTGGTTTGTTTGTACAGCGAAACCCAATTTCCCCAGATAATTTATTCTAGGAAATGGTGATGCCTGGCATTGCTAGAGAGAGCAAGACTGTGTGTTCTGGCTAAGGGCAGGTACAAAGGGCGTGCGTGGCAGCCTTGTTA